TCTGTTCAGATAGATGCACACTCCATAGATAGAGTGCAGGCTGTCTCAAAAGTCAAGAGATAAGCTGGCTAGGTGATACAGATTCCATAGGCAGAATGTGGGCCATCTTACTTAGAAGGGAGAGGGGCAGCCTCAGAGCATGGATGGGGTCGGCTAGGAAAATGAGATTGGCCAAAAAGTGTGTGGGTTGTTAGTTTTTATGAGCTCGGAAACTTCATCTGCTAACAAGTGGAAGGATCATTCCAACTATTTTGGGGAAGGGGCTAGGATTCCCGGGAACTGGGCCATCACCCACTTTTTGACCCTTTATTGTCAGCCTTGAAACTGTCCTGGCACCTGTGGGAGTGCCATTAGCACGCTATTCTGTTTCAATTCATGTATATTGAAGTTCAAGATCTACTGGGATTTGTTATCTTCCATCATCTTGGTGCTAATTATTGTGTCATTTTTTTAAATGGTTGTGCTCTGCCCTCTTCCCTCCTGTCTCACCTGTATGCCATCAAAGTGGACTCCCAGGGCTGAGTTTTTGAGAAAGGGAAGGTCTGGATATGTTCATTTAGAAGAAATAGGCATATATACATGATGTTCAAAGATGTGGGATATGTATGGGTGGGGAAGAGATGAGGATCTGACTGGTTAATTTCTGATCATTATTCATATTTCCCCCTCACCCAGCATCTCCTTCACAGACATCTTGCTGATCTCCTGACTAGATAAATCCCTGTTGGAATCCCTGAAGTCACAGCCATCACACACCTTTCCTTCAGAACACTCAACACAATTGATATCTAAGTTTACTTGGATCATTGTTTGATGTGACTGTGTAACTATGATAGCTCCCTGAGGGTGCCTGCTTTTGTTTACCATGTTAAGAAAGATCACCCACAACTGGGAAATAAGGCGTAAACATGACCACATGTTTTTTCAATTATAGGCGGAGAATTGTGTAATAAGCCTGTCCATGGGAACCTGGTTATCATTTGGCATACTATTTGCCATTAATCAGGGCCCAGACTTTGTAAAATTAGGACTGAACTTGTATAAAACAGATATATACTACAAATGATTGTGTCCAGTAGACAGGATTATTACCACAAAGGTTATGGTTTTATTATGCTGTAGGAATTAATGGGCTTTGTATCCAACTTTTTAGTCTTATTCCAGCATTCTTTTTCTTTTTCTTTTTCATTGTGGTCAAATACACATAACACAAAATTTACCATCTTTAACTGTATAGTTCAATGGTATTAAATACATTCATAGTGCTGTGCAACCACCACCACAACCACCATCCATCTTCAGAACATTTCTTCTTGTGATACTAAAATTCTATCTCATTAAACAATTCCCCCTCCTCTAGCGCCTGTCAACCACCACTCTACTTTCTGTTTCTATGAATTTGACTATACTTAGTACCTCACATAAGTGGAATCATACAGTATTTGTCTTTGTATGACTGGTTTATTTCACTTAGCATAATGTCTAGGTTCACCCATGATGTAGCATCTGTCAGAATTTTCTCCTTTATAATGTTGAATAATAATCCATTTTATGTATGCACCACATTTAGATTATCCATTTATCTCTTGATGGACCCCGGGTTGCTTCCCTGTTTTAGCTATTGTGAATAATACCACTATGAATATGGGTGTACAAATATCTCTTTGAGAACCTGCTTTTGATTCTTTGGGTATACAGACAGAAGTGGAAATGTTGCAATATAAGTTTTTAAAATTTAACTTTAGTTTCTTCCATCAATGTTTTGTAGTTTTCATTGTATAAGTCTTTTACCTCCCTAGTTAAGTTTATTCCTACGTATTTTATTCTTTTTGATGCTTTTGTAAATAGAATTGTTTTCTTAATTTCTAATGCAGGTAGTTTGTTAGTGTGTAGAAATGCAACTAACTTTCATTTGTTGACTTTGTATTCTGCTACTTTGCTGATCTCATTTATTAGTTCTAACAGATTTTATTTGTGTGTGTGTGTGAGTGTGTGTGTGTGCAGGTGTGTGTAATCTATAGAGTTTTCTATGTACACATTCATATTATCTGCAGAGATAATTCCTTTTCAATTTAGATGTGTTTTACTTATTTTTCTTGTCTTATTGCTCTGGCTAGAACTTCTTGTACTATGTTAAATAAAAGTGGTGAGAGTGAGCATCCTTGCTTTGGTTCCAGATCTGACAGGAAAAGCTTTCAGTTTTTTACCACTGAGTATGATGTTTGCAGTAGCTTTCTCACATATGGCTTTTATTATATTGAGATAGTGTCTTTCTATTACTAGTTTTTTAGTGTTTTTACCATGAAAGAGTGTTAAATTTTGTCAAATGTTTTTTTCGCATTTGTCGCTTTTTCCCCTTTATTCAGTTAATGTGGTATATTACTTTGATTGATTTTTGAATATTGAACCATCCTTGTATTCCAGGAATAAATACCACTTGGTTATGGTGTATAATCCTTTCAATATACTGCTGAATTTGGTTTGTTAGTATTTGTTGAGAATTTTTCACCAATGTCCATAAGGGTTATTGATCTATAATTTTCTTTTCCTGTAGTGTCTGGTATCAGGTCATTCTGACAACATAGAATGAGTTAGAAAGTGTTGCTTCCTTTAAATTTTGGGGGAAAATTTTGAGAAGGATTGGTGTTAGTTCTTATTTAATATTTGGTAGAATTCAGCAGTGACATCATCAGTCTGGGGTTTTTCTTTGTTGAGAGATGTTTGATTACTGATTGAGTCTCTTTACTAGTTATAAATCTATTCAGAGTTTTTATTTCTTTGTGATTGAGTCTTGGTAGGTTCTGTGTTTACAGGTATTTGTCTAATTCATCTGGTTATCCAATTTGCTGGTATATAATTGTTCATAGTACTCTCATGATCCTTCTTATTTCTGTGCAGTTCATAGTAATGTCCCCACTTTCATTTCTGATATCAGTTATTTGAACCTCCTTCTTTTTTTTTTCTTAGTCCATCTAGCTAAAGTTTTGTCAATTTTGTTGTTCTTTTCAAAGAACCAACTTTGGTTTTTAAATTTTCTCTATTCTATTCTCTGTTTTGTTTATGTCTGCTCTAATCTTTACTATTTTCTTCCTTCTGCTAGCTTTGGGTTTAGTTTGTTCTTTTTCTAGTTTCCTAAGTTGTAAAGTTAGGTTGTGGATTTGAGGCCTTTCTTGTTTTTCAATGTAAGCATTTATAGCCATACATTTCCCCCTTGGAACGACTTTCAGTGCATCCCATAAGCATTGGTATGTTGTGTTTTTTGTTTTGTTTTGTTTTGTTTTGTTTTTTGTCTAAATTTGTTAGTATTTTCTAATTTTCCTGGTGGTTTATTATTTGATCCATTGGTTATTTAAGAGTATATTGCTTAATTTCCACCAATTTTTGAATTTTCCAGTTTTCCTTCTGTTTTTGATTTCTAACTTTATCCTGTTGTGGTCAGAAAAGATACTTTCATGATAGGTATCTTTTTAAATTTAAGACTTAATTTGTGGCTTATCCTATGTCTATCCTGGAAAATGTCCCATGTGCACTTAGAAAGAATGTTTGTTGTTTAGAGTGTTCTGTATATGTCTGCTAGGTTGATTTGGTTTGTTGTGTTATTTAAGTCCTCTATTTTATTGCTTCTCTTCTGTGTAATTGTTCTTTCAGTAATTTTCTGTTGTTGTTGTTGTTGTTGTTAAATGGATACTCTTCCCTACACCTCTCTCTTCCTCTCTTTACATATATATGATATTGTAAGATATTACATATAATATATTATAAGGTATATTATATTATATATATAATGAGACATATAATATTTATCTATATCTTCCTTTGAATCAGCTTTGTCATCTTGATGAATCCCTCATTAGTGAATCAAATGCAGCCTTGACATGTGCTCACTATATATTTTTATGAGAATTATGTCTTTAACATTTTGAAAATTGTACATTGACAACCATTTGCAATCTCTAAAACAGTTTATAGCATCCCTGTCACAGTACATATTTGTTAAATGAAAGAATAAGCTGGCTTAGGGCTGACTTACTATTAGGATTTCTGAGGCCACCTACTATCTCGACCAAGTGTTTGGAAAAATATATGGTAACCAGGCTTTGAGGGAGGGCCCAAGGAGTTCACCAGTCAAGTGTATTTGCAATGTTTCACATCCCAAGAGCCATTATCCTTGACAAAACCATAGTCAAGGAGGTGGTATAACCAGAATTCTCAGCGCAATTTTTTGTTAAGATACATATTGCAAACAAATGTGGATTTAATCTGGGACTCCGTAAAGACCACAAAATTTGTTAGTGCTTTATGGAATAAATATTTACACTTTGCTAAGCTGTTAACTCACTCATAACTATATACATAAAATATAAAAGGAACACATAGGGTTGTTTCAGTATTAATTTTCATTCTCTCCTCGTTAAGGAATTGGTGAAACTCTTACTCAATTTTAGATCAGGGAAACACCTCTGTCCTGATCTATTCAAGAGTCTAGACTCTCTCTGGCCTTGTTCAAGTTTTGAATCGTCCATTGATCTTGTTCTTTGCTTAATTATCGATCTGCATTAAATAACTCTACCTACTTCTATCAGTAACTTTACACAGAATGCAGAAAATTCTCAATCTATCTGTATACAGTTGTTAAAAGTACAGATTTTAGGTGTATTAACATTATTTCTGTAGTTTCAATTACTACTTTGACACTATAATCTAGAATTCTAGAAGAGCTCATCTTTAAAATACCCAGTAAAATGCTAACTGCAGCTGTTTTTTTTTAACAGCTGGAAGACATGCCTATCTTCTTTTAGCGTCCATCTACCCCTATTTATCACCCATAAATCACTTCAAAAACAACATGTCCCTAGTGTTTCCTTTCTGCTGAAACTGCTCCCTCTCCATCGTATTCTTCTCTTTAGAAAGAAAGGGTTGTTGGGTACCTCTGTGGCATTTGTTGGGAGAGAGAGGCATTCAGGATGAATCTGTCTTGAAAATGTCTCTCCCATTGTGTAGATATTCTTACTGCAAACCTATTTAACATTTGTGTGGTGATACACAGTCCAGAGACTTGCTGTTTGATCATCTGCACTCATGTGAGATGTCCTTAGACATATTCATTCTTTTGTATGGAAGCCTCTTGCATTCATCTCGATATCCCTGGCCATTTTACCAGCTCATTTACCTCTGTAAAACTGAAGCATACGTCATATATTTCTGGGTGAAATGGCATAATGGCATAGACAAGAGAGTAGAAAAAATGAGCTTATATACAGAGTTTTAAATAAAGATGATATGAAGAGGCATGCTGGTGAAGCAGAAAGAGGAGGCATTTAGAGAATCTGAGTCTAAGCAAGGACAGAAAAACAATGTGTCTTCATTCTTGTATTCATTTGTTCAACAGGTGTTTATTGAGCTTTGCTATGTGCTCAACGTCTGTTCAAGATAACGGGGAACAAAGATCAATAGGACACTATTCTAGTCAAGTCTACAGAGATAGAAAATAGATTAGAGATTATCAGGGGCTGGAAGCAAGGGAAAACACTGCTTAATGATTGCAGAGTTTATGTGTGGGCTGATGAAAAAGTTTTGCAAATACCTAGTGGTGATGGTTGCACAGCCAGGTGAGTGTCATCAATGCCACTTAAAATGAACAAAATGGCAAATTTTCTTTACGTAACCACAATTTTTAAAAAGATAGTAGTGTATTATACCCAAGCCATTGAATCATGCATTTTAAATGAGTGAGCTGTGTGGTATATGTGACTCGGTGCTTAGTAAAGCTGTTAAAGAGAATGAAGGCACCAATCTTGCTTTATGGGAGTTCAATGTCCAGTGGAGGAAATCACTCTATACACGAATGATTACAAAAAGCAAAGGAATCAAAACTGACATCTTATCTGTGCATGGCCTTCTGCATCATCATACTACCCTCTAAATCAAAAGTGTACATCTATCCCTATACTTGTGTTTAATGCAGAAAAATGCACCATTGCATACCTTGTCAAAACTGCCCTTTCTTCTATTTTACATATTATTCCTCAATGATGAGAAGTTCTCTTCAGATAAGTACAAACTGAACAACTATAATCCATAATGGATACATTCCTTAAAATTCACACTTGATGTTTTGAAACACAGATTCCCAAATCTAGCATTGTAGTCCATATATATGACTGTCAAACTCAGATTAGAACTCTGACCCTTTTTAAGCCTCATCTTTATTTTTCTGTAAATATGAGATGATTGCACCAAGCAATCTCTGATGCTCTGATAATTAGGTCATTCTTAGATTGAGTTTCTCATCTTATTTAATCAAGCTTTTCCATGGACTACAGACATATCTCCACTGGACAATCACATCCATGAGGGTTGAATTTTATCTATTTTCTTTGCATTTATTCCTTAGCATGTAGCATGGAGCCTTTTTCGCATTAGGTACCCAATAAATAAGTATAAGATTAATATTTATTGAATCTCATTAATATACTCTCAGACATCGTATTTCTTTTGCTTCAATTCACCAACCATACAAGTTTAGTGACATCATTCTTCCACTGCACAATCTCTGAATGGACTCACCTTGTCTAGTTAGAGAATGAACTCTAAACCCCTTTCTATGGCATTTAAGGACATGCACAATCTGGTTCCATCTACACGATAGTGTAGACATTCATGCACAGATAAGATGTCAGCCAGGAAGCTTAGGAAGAGAAGAAAAACAGAAAGTATTAGTCCCATTTCCTGCCCCTCTGGCTCCTGTGCAACAGTCACATTAAACTACTCATTGCTATCTCACTGCTCCATCCATCAATTTTGAACGTTCTGGCTGAAAATTAGTGATATATTTTTACAAATTTGATTTGCATCTCCAAATCAGTATGGAGAGATGAGATTTTTCCCTAGTATTTTAAGTAAGTTATTTTCTTTGCTTCAATTGTGAATGTTACGGGGTTCTTCCTTTCCCCTTTTTTAATGTAGGCATTCTAACAATTTGAGACTTATGTTTGATTCTTGGTATCTGACTATGAATAACTGCAAAATCCTTCTCATAACCTTATCCTTCCATTCATTTTTTGAACCACTGTCTCGTAATTATTTTTAGTCTTAAATATTTTAGTCTGTGTAATCTAAATGTTTTCCGGAACCACACAAAAAATTTATTTTCTCTAAACAACCAAAATATATACTTCGGTTATGTTTGTTCTATGTTAATTATTCATCTTTTCCTAAATATGTCTATGCAACCTATACCTTGTTATACTTATATGCATTTAACAAAATTAATCCTTGAATTTATTGAAAGTTGTCCAATTGAGCATTTCAATTTCTTTCACTTGTTCTTGTTTTTTACTTCATCTATTGCTAAACTTAGTTCCTGTAGCTCACAGTGGAATGTTTGAAAACCCGTCCTTTTATGTCCACTTGGAATGTTCAATTTATCTTGTCATTTTGTAAACTAACACAAAAAACTAGCTGCTGAATTTTTTAACTCCTAAAAAAAGCTTTTTGGACTTTAAGGGGAAACTAAAAAGATACAGAGATTTCTAGGCAATGGAATGTTTTATTTTCCTTATTATGAAAGTCATTTTTATACCTCCATTAAATTAGATAACTTCTAATATTAATAATTTCAATTTCATTTAGGTCACTTTAAAAGTACTAATTTTATGCCAGGTGTAGAGATAGACCCCGGGGAAGAGAGGTACATAGTTGTGTTCCTTCTCTTCAAGGAATTCTCCATTAGGCTAGGGAAGAAAACAGGGGACAGACAATGCATTAGCACTCGGCAGAGAAACACAACCAATAGGATGTGTGTATGTAAAATATATAAAAAATATATATATAACATCTACTATATGCATATATCCGTATAACCATAAAAATAAACAAATGTTCATATATATATATATATATAGAGAGAGAGAGAGAGAGAGAGAGATAGGAATTGAGACAGAGACAAAGACAGAGGCTGGCTGATTTTGAGAAGCGGCTCATGTGATCGTGGAAGCTGGGCAATCCTAGATCTGTTGGGCAGGAAGGCAAGCGGGAGACCCAGGCAGATGGCCGATAGAAATCCTTCTTGCTCCGGGGAAGTCAGTTTTTGTTCTATTAAGGTATTCAGTTGACTGGATGAAGCCCACCCATCCAATCACAGTCCATCTGTTGTGGAGGGTCACCTGGTTTACTCAGAGTCCACTGATTTCTATGTTAATCTCACCCCCAAACAATCTTCACAGAAACATCCAGAATAATGTGTGACCAACTATCTGGGCACCACGGCCCAACCAAGTTGACACATAAAATGAACCATCACAGATAGTGATACCACAGTGTGTGTCGGGCCATGCCAGTCGCATGGACAATAAGCTACATTGTGGCAGGGAGGAAAGGGGATGTGTAATATTTCTAAAGTGCAGAGTTCTATTCTGGCTTCATAAGAGAAGTTACTCTTCCAGACTTTTGCTAATAAGAAGTAATAAGACCAGTCATAAGAGGCTCTTTTACCTAGATCATCCTGATGGCAGTATGGCTTTGAGGATTTCATTTCTGATTGCTTTGAATGACTGTATTTCCTTTCTACGTATCCCACGTTTGTGGAACTATGGTGCTTTGATTTTTCTCAATGCCGTTTTCACCTAGCCACACTCCTGAGCCTGAGCAAGTCTCTTGTCTAAGGGTTTGGTTGTCAGATGTAGTGCTCCATCGCCACAAAGCTGTTTCCTTTTGAAAATTTTCTTATTTTTATTCTTTCTGGCAGAATTTACCCAATATTTTCTAAAGTGTGTTCCATGGCACACTGGGCCTGAAAGATACTGTGGGGAATAAAAAGTCAATATATTTGCAAATAGCTGCATGCAGTTCCTCTCTCAGCAATTAACAGGGCACATGCATATTAATTAGGATGATGATAAAATGAGGTAAAAAAGTCTTATCAGTAGACACTGGATTAATTTTTTTAAAGAGTACTATATTTGCTTAGTAAAACACCTAAGCTGCTAATAACTAATAAAAATAATAAAATAGAATATAAAATATGTAAAATAAATAAAATATCTAAAATATAAATAATAAAATACCTAAGGTGAGGTCACAAGGACTTGGATTAGCAAGATACAAAGTTACAAGAAAGACAGCTGAATCACTATGCGTTAGAAGTGCACAGAGACTTGGGGGTGGAAGGAAGCCTATTCTATTTTGGGGGGGTAGGTCATTAAGTCTATTTGTTTATTTCATTATTAGTTTTTTTTTAATGGAGGTACTGGGTATTGAACCCAAAACCCCGTGCATGCTAAGCATGTGCTCTACCACTAAACTATACCTAGTTCCCCCATTTTTGTTTTTAATGAAGTACTGGGGATTGAACCCAGGACCTCGTGCATACTAGGCATGTGCTACACCATTGGGGGTGGAAGGAGACTAGAGAAGAGAGAAAGGAGGGAGTAGGAGAAAGGGGAAACCAGAGTAACTGAGTAATGGAGTAGATTTTGTTATTTGCCTTGTTGTCACGTAACTCCCATTTATTGCAGTTTGTTTCACAGCGGAGAAGTTGCGTGAGAAGAATGTGAATGATTTCTTCATTTGGGTCAACACCAGGCTGGAGTTAGAGGGAAAGCTGTAAGGCACAGCAGAGAACCAATTCAGGGAACATGGGATGTCAGAGCTAGCGGCCATCGTGAGCTTGTAAGCCCTGGAATGTATCAAAGAAATCATGCGAGAGGTCATGGATTCTCCCTCAAGGTAAAGAGAAGGGGTTCGTGACCATCTTTTTTCAGTCTTAAAGTACAGAAGACCCCAGGTGGCATCTTGATGGTGTATATGTACGTGTTTTCACATACTAAACTGCACTAAAATGTTAACAATTGTCCTTTCTGGGTGATTGACTCCCAAGCAGCCTCCTATGATTTCTCCTTTATACTTTTCTGTATTTGAATTTTCTCCACTAAGTATACACCGTTTTTATAATCAGGTTAATTAAAAATTTCATTTTCACTCCTAAAAATCATTCTCAAATACTGTTTCACTCAGGCAGGCTTTTGGTAGACATTTGGCAACAGTGTGCTCCCCTAGACTGCCTACTCAGAGATTACAAACCCCAGGAAGAGCTTGGAACGTGGCTGATTAAAGTTCCCCATTACAAATCCACATGTCTTAATAGATAGTCTATCTGGGTTATGGTGGATATTCCATCACGGAAATAAGTCTGAGAGCACAGGTCGCTGACTGAAGGCCGTCCCACTGAGGGCCTATAATTTTGAGTCTCACAGCAATCAACACATTGGTTTTGGCTTAGATAATTCTTTAGTTTATTACTGGTCTTCTCTTGTTTGGGAGAAACAAGTAGCTGCTTCTTCATCTAACTCTAACTTTTAAGGTTGTTACTCTTTCTTGAAAATATATTCATATTATTTCAGTTCTATTTTCAACAACTCTGATCTCTGAGAAAATGGGCTTTTTCTCTTTGGTCCCTAGCCCCTATCCCAGCTTTAGGTCATGACCACGGGGACACAAATGTAACATCCATGTAGCAGGTTAGACTTGAACCGTGCTTAGTTCTGGTGCCTCACACAGCATCCCAGGGCTTTTCCTTGGCTTTGCTTCTGCCCAGGTGATTTCTTTCTTCCTGCCTATTCCTCAAGAGTCAGTGCAGCATGGCAGCTATGAGCATGTAGTTGGGAGCCAAATGGTTGACTTCTAATCTTGGCTTGGCCAGTTAATGACTGTGAGATCTTGTGTAAGCTACTTGACCTTTCTAAGTCTCAGTGACGCATCCATAATGTGCAAATAAAAATAGCTCCTCTTCAGAGGCTGTTGTGAGGATTAATTAGATGATACATGAAAAATCCTTAGTAGATTCTAGCACATCCTGAGGGCTCAAATAAACATAAGCTGTTATTTTAAAAAAATATTAGCTCACTTTCTATTTTCCTTCTGCCTTCCGTGATATTCTTGTAAGGCTGATGTCAGAGCCTACCGAATCTCCAACCATCTCTGCACCTTCACCTCTTTTCAGCAGGATGTAGTAAAAAGAGCATGGACTTTGTCGTCAGGGAGACCTGGCTTAGAACTGTGGCAACACAACTTACTGAGGATTCTTAACCACTTGTGGCCCTCAATGTTCCAAAGTCTCCGTGTTCTCAGTTATAAAGTAGAGACAATAAAACCAACTTAAACAGCATGTTGTGAAGACGAATAAGTGTCTTTGATACCAGTTATCAGGGTCCTCTGCCCATCACAGATGATCAGTGAAAGTAAGCACCACACTGTTTCCTTGTATCTGAATTTCTTTAAAACTTCACTTCCCAGGTCATCCAAACATCCAGCTGGGATCAACACTACCCTCCTCTCTCCCCTCCCTCACCAGAAAAGACATATTTTAAAGTCTCATCCAAGGATAGACTAGTATTTATTTATTTATATATAATTTATATTTATATTTTATATATAATACAGTCATATAGCTTGAGAATTAACATCTGGATTTGGCTCATACTTTTCCCATGTTTATACTGGGTAACTTTGGGCAAATTTAAAACTTCTGACACTCTATTTTTCTTATTCTTTGAAGTGAGAGAGAATGATAATGATAGAGATAATGGTAGAGATAGTGATATCTACTTTAAAATGTAGGCCAAATTAAATTTACTTACTCAGTATATTTTGAGCATCTGCTATATGCCAGCCATTGTGTTAGGTAGTGGGATCCAACAGTGAGCCAGACAGATAGCATGTCTGTGTGGTGCTTAGCACAGTGTCTGGTATCCAGGAAGCTTCAATATATAACATCATCATCATCATCATATCTGTGTTTTGCTGCACAAGCATAGAATCATTCAATTACATTTTAAACCTTCTAGTTTCAATCAAAATAAATAAATCATTTTATCTTCTAAGAAAGTCTGGAGAGATATGTCTTTCTACAGAGGTATCCATGATCTCTGAGATGTCATGCTACAATAAAAAGCCACAAGTAAGGTAAAAATTTATTTTAGTCATTCTAACATGCAACAAAGGTTGCAAATCATTGGTGCAGACTGTACTGTCGTGTGGTTAGTACCTGATTAAAGGGAAAGAGTAGTCTGTATAATCCTAAAAGACAAATAATGTTTTAAAAATTAAGTGATTGAACAATAGAATGGATAAATTATGGTATGTTCATACAATGGAATGTTACACAGCACTGAAAAAGAATGACTGCATCTTGTTAAATGTAACAAAGTGGAAATCTCACAAACATTATAAGCAAAAGAGGTCAGATAGAAAAGAATACAGTACTACATGGTTCAATTCATATGATGAGCAAGACAGACAAAATTTATCTACAGTGGTAGAAGTCAGATAGTGGTTAACTCTAGGGGATACGTATTGACTATGCAGGGCACAAAGAAAACTTTTAGGCACTGGAAATGTCCTATACCTTGATCTAGGTGATAATTACCTAGATAAAAGGATCTTTCTCTCTTTTGCTCTGACTCTGGCTCTCTCCCTGTCAGCAGTTCATACATTTTACAAATGTGTTAAAATGTATCAAGGTGAGTAATGAAAATGCGTGTATATTATTAAGCATAATGTTATATATAATATGTAACATTTAATATTAATTTAAATTTGTAACAATAAATGCTACAATTAATATTACATCAATACCAAGTAAATCTATGTATACATCTCTCTAGTCCCATTAAAATTAATTATATATAAAGCTAAATTATAAACATAATATAACTTTGTAAACTTTATATAAAATATAAATTTAAATTATATAAAACTTACATATAAATTATTATACTATAAATTATAATCATCAATTTTATAAAATTTATTATAATATAAATTATTTATAATAATAATCACAGAAATAAATTATATATAAATTTATTATTAAATTATAATGAATAATTAATTTATATATAATTACATATGTATGTATGTATTTTTTCTCTTGCCTATTTACCTTTCGGTTCACATGCAGTTGAGGCTGGTATGAGTTTGGGTTTTCCAAGTGGATTCTGGGCTCTTCTCTTCCTCCCTGCTTCTTAGCAGTACTTACGAGGGAGGAGGCTGATCAGTGGGTGGTAGAGGAAAGTCTTGGCACAAATACAAAAGGAGTCTTGGGCTTAAAGTGTGCTGTCACTCATTCTTAAAGTAAATCGTATGTGGGTAACAGCTCATTGTCTGAGGCCGTTAGGGTTTTTTAACCTGGCATTGGCAATGGAGCACTGGGGTGCCTCGCCTTGGCCTAGGATTAAGTAGGCTAACGGTAATTACCAGCAGGTCTCTAGTTCTCCAAGTTACTATGTTGGGTGGATGAGAATGGCTTGGGCAGATGTGATGGATGTGACGGCGGTGAGAGTGTGAAATTCCAGGCGTTGAGCGCTTTCCTACTTACACATTTTAGCCTCTGCCAGCTTTCTCTAGATTTGACTGATGCCCGAGGGAATAGGGGTTCCATTCCCATCTCCTTCTGATTCTGGGGACAGGCGTGATGGTTCCTGTGCAGAGTGCAGCTTGCTCCCTGAAGTCTGAAAGAGAAATGTTGATAGTCCAAACACTAAGTTACAGGGGGTGACCTTGTGCTTTCAGAATTCATTTTCCAGCGGGGCCCACCTCCATGGAGGGTGGTGGGGAGGAGGGCGGACATGGAGCAGCAGAACGAGATATAAGATAGAAGGAGGAAGCAAGGCAGAGAAGGAACAGAAGGAAATAGAGTTTTTATTTGTTTGTTTGTTTGTTTGTTTTGTTTTTAATAAAAGAGAGAAGGAGCAAGAGAAAAAGGAGAGAGAGAGACTGGGCTACACAAGGGAAACTAGGAAGCCAGTGGAGCTGGGAAAGTGGGAAAGACAGAAACCAACCGCTAGAGAACTCAGCAACCTCCAAATCATAATTAGGAGCAACTTCCTGGCCTCACATTTTCCACATAAACACTCAGGCGCTGGGCAGAGTTAATGGGCCCCTGACTTCTGCACAAGAGCAGCTCTGTCCAAGCCCGGCAGCGATTGACGTCACCCGCGCAGCGTCTCAGAGGAATGCGCCCGCTCCCCGCGTTTCGGTGCCTGACCCTAACCTCTCCCAGATGTGCAACTGTTCTTCCTTCCAAACAGGGAGTTTCAACACTGGGCATTGTGTGCTCTCTGAGTCCCGTCCTGCGGCAAAAACAAAAGTCCCGGTTCCTGCGTTTCGGAGCTGGATGGTGCGCCCGCCGGGCGGGCTGGCGGCGGGTACCGCGCGGGTCTGTCGCGACCGCGCTCCTTATCTCGCGCCGCAGGCTGCTCGCAGCCCGGGGCGGGCCGCCTGTCTTTGGCCGCGGGGAGGTGGGAGTACGACCGGGCAGCAAGGCTCTTTAGGATCGGGCTCCAGCCTGCTCCTCCCTCCTCCTGCCTGACTCCCTGCCGTCCTGGCTCCAGGCACGCGCGCTGTTTGCAGTGGTACTAACACTTCTCGGTGACTCATGGCCCTGTGGCCTTGCCCACCCTGTTCAGGCTGCTGGCATGTCCCCCTTTCCCTTTTTGACTTGGTGCCCAAGGCAATCTACAAATTTCATGCAATCTCTATCAAATTACTCAGGACATATTTCACAGAACTAGAACAAATCATAATAAAAGTTATATGGAATCACAAAAGACCTAGAATTGCCAAGGCATTACTGAAGAGAAAGAAAGAGGCTGGAGGAATAACTCTTCCAGACTTCAGACAATACTATAGAGCTACAGTCATCAAGACAGCATGATATTGGTACAAAAACAGACATATAGACCAATGGAACAGAACAGAGAGCCCAGAAATGAACCCACAAACGTTTGGTCAACTAATCTTTGACAAAGGAGGCAAGAATATACAATGGAATAAAGACAATCTCTTCAGCAAATGATGTTGGGAAAACTGGACAGCAGCATGCAAAGCAATG